TCCGACCGTCCCACCGTCGACCACCATAGTGTCACCACTATAGGTTTCCAAAAAACCCATAAATTGATTTAAAATTTTGCAGATAGCTTTTTAATAGTAATAGGAATCTATAATAACAAATTCAACATGCCGGCATTATTTAAGTGTATAGGCTATACATCCTTAAGTCAGATGAGATTGTGTCGTATACACAACTTATGTTTGCAAGTTCTGTTCAGAAATCTTTCCCCCTTCCTTTCCCTTGTACGTCCGTGATGAGAAATTTCAAGTCACGTTTCCGTAGTACGCGTCCCATAAATTAATGCTTAGTTAAGGGACGCGACTCTTAAATTGGTTAACCGTTAAAAAGATCTGCGGAACGCGACCGATCGTTGCGTTGGCTGTTTGCCGAAGAGAGCATCGTGAATACAAATTCTAAGCCAACCGGGGCGGATTAGGGTTGAATTTTAAGGAGCGTCTCGCAAGTCGTAACTCCTCTAACAAATTAACGAAAAGCTTGATCAATTTTCGTCCGAGCAGCGTCGATTTCCTCAGTTCCACAAAATTAATAAACTGAACAATCACCTAACGAAGCACTTGCAAATTACGTGCAGTATGAAGTATATATCAAGAATTTCTCTGCTGAATTATTTTCATCTCACGGCAACTCTTTTTCACGGAAGACTAACTCCTCCGACTTTCTGCGAAAACGATGTTCTCTGTCTATATTGTAATTGCGAAACAGTATAATTTAATCATTTCGAATATCAGTCGACTGCTACATTTTTATACATGATTTAGCAGCTCTTGCAAAATATTCCACCGCTACATAATCCTGTATAAGACGCAAAAATCCAAGTAGATAGATATAAAGCTCCGTTATCGGTGTCGAAATTTTAGAAAAACGGTATGGCGCGGTATTTAATACAATGTAACTTTGCGATTAATTATTTAGCAGACTCTTAATGAGTCGATGACGAACAGTTATAGAAAAACAAGTCTTTACGGACATCTTGAAAGATAAAAAATGTTTCCGGTCTTGTTACCTAGCTGCGGTATCAACGATAAGCAGGCACTGAACAATTAATTTAAGTACGAAGTCTGAATTATTTCATCATACATTTTTAGATAATTTTAATCAGTACCATTTGATAAACTGTTTATTGAAGAATGTCCTATGCCTGTAAATTAGAATGCTGGATCACATTTATCATGCTACAACTACTATGTTTAGTTACTGAGAAAGCTAACGAGGACATTACGGGGAAAAAAGTAACCGGCAAACGCTACTGGTAATGCATCATCAATCACCTTCGCGAAACGAACGTTAAAAAGGCGAAAGTAAAACTGGATTATGTAAATTGTTGATTCCGTTTAACGATAATCATCTTTCGCGTGAACATAACCGGTCAATCTTCCTACCTGTGACAGCTGATACGGAACGGCTATATATGTTATATCGCGCTCGATCGCGCATCAGATTTCACGTGGCATTGAGAGTTGACGATACCAAGAACGATCAAGACAAATTAAAATGCGTAATTACATATTGGTACTCGCTTGCCTGTCCCTGTTCGCCTGTGCATTTGCGAAAAACCTGATACTTGGTAAACGCCTGCAAGGCGATGTATTGCTTCAGAATCAAAGTATCTACAAGGTAAAAGAATATAACAATTTTAATCATTATATCCGTTGATTTTCAATCAATTGAAAGTGATTGTTTGTCTCGTACAGCCGGATCTGCCAGACGTTTCACGGACTGCCATTATCGATGCGCGTGCTCCAGCCGAGAAAATAATTTCATATGTCAATATAACAAGTATAGATTCGGGAGCTGTGCAAATTGAGCTTATCGATGGACGCATCGGAACGCAGACAGTGATCGTGCAAGCAGTTGGAGAACAAAGTTGTCCCCTTAAAATCCAGGCTTTGATCTACGGTGTTCCTCACAACTATAATACTACTCCTGCACCAACTACTACAGTACCAAGTACAATCAAAGACATCACTGAAACTACAACTCCTGAAAGTACTGAAACTACAAGTCCTGAAAGTACTGAAACTTCAACTCCTGCAAGTTCTAGAACTACAACTCCAGAAAGTTCTGGAACTACAACTCCAGACAGTTCTGGAACTACAACTCCAGACAGTTCTGGAACTACAACTCCAGACAGTTCTGAAACTACAACTCCTGAAAGTACTGAAACTACAACTGAAAGTAATAACGCATCACCAACTTCTAAAGTAATCGGCCGTGTTATGAAGGGGGTGTTAATAGCAGGCTGTGTATATTCAGTGTTTTTAAATAAATATTAGTTTGAACAGTGAAAACTTCTGTAGTATTTAAATTTTTGATCTTTTTTAAAAAGCAAAAGCCAACGTTATTTTCAATAAATAATGTTGAAATAGAATTATTTAAAGAAAAAAGAGAGTAATCAGTGCGCCCATATTATGAAGCACCATTTCAGAGTCATGTCCTGATTGTTTCATTTATTATGGGCGTATTATGAATAGAGAAAATAAAATCAATAAATGATTAACATTTTTATTTTTCATATTTTATTTAATGTTTTATAAACAATAAATAAATAATTTGAGTCTATAAACGAGAATCACGTGTGGTGTGATAACACGGCCGGTTACCTTAGCGAACCGAATATTACGGTACCAAGTTCAGTCGAAGACAGCAGCATAGAATCAGAGAGCACAGAAGCTACAACTCCTGAAAGTAGTAGCGAGGAATCAAGTTAAACCGATGCTAGTACTGATGAATAAGACGTCTTTTTTTAATAAGTTTTTTTTTTTTTACTGTATTTATTAATTCGATCTGATTGATCCAATATTAGTATTATGCAAAAACAATTGTGCTTGTACTTATTGAATAAATTTTGATTATTTATAAATTTGTGTTCTTCAATCAACGATCCTTATATTTCGTCGTTATCGCATTAAACCCTGCGACTGTGACGTAGCAAACAATCCGTTAGTAGTTACCGTTCTTCAGGAGTTGAACAGTCTCCCGGGGGAATACATTAAAATTCTCGCGAGTGGCTGGGGCAAGATCGTCCTTGCCGTTGACGTCGTTTACGTATTTTAGCGACCATTGATCTACCGAGACGCGGATGTAATTCGTCGTGTTTGAAAATTCGAAGCACAGACGTTTCGTCGGTAACGCGTTTCCAGGAAACTCGGTCCCTGGTCGACGCGACGACGACGGTTTAAGGCTGCATCGCACGTAACCCGCCACTGTTACCTGATTCGCTTCATCATCCGGCGTGGCTCGCTTAACAGCGTCTTCTCTGCCCTCTTCCATTTCCTCATCTTCTCGTCCTCTATCTCCGTTTCAGTGTTTCGTTCGTGCGTCAGCGAACAAGCCTCGCTAGCGAAAATCGTATCCCAATTTGTCAAAAATCGATTTGTACGGACGGTTAGGATTCGAGCAGCCGCTGCGGAATTTTCGATAGCCCTCGTAGGGAACAAGCGAATAGCTAACCGAGTCCGGTGAAAAATTAATTTCCCTTCGATGCGGCTCCATTTTCCGTTAAATATTTCACTGGAAATCGTGGCCGTCCCACGGTAAACATCACGATCGATCGGACTGTACAGTCGGCGAGCACTTTTCCAACTAGCGTAACGGAGAAAGATTTACGGAAACGTTCGTCCATCTTTTATCGTACCGCGATAACGTACGTATGGTAAAAATTTCTTTTTACCTCTGGCTGAAACGCGATTACAGCCAATTCTATTATACAATTCATACTGCTCGTATCTTTTTCGAGCACTCGACGTTAATCTGCGCGCGGTTCTGGTTGAAATTTTTCCGTGACACCGTGTATAAAACTGAAATAGGTAGAATCCGGAAAAACAGGATCGCGAGATTACATCTCGTTTACTGCGTTACTCAGGTTGTGTAACTCACATCGGGACATCGCTCGTAAACTCCCATTTTCGAGCGGGCCGGGGGAAGAACAGAATTAAAAAGGGTCGCACCTTGGTTGCAGCGTGCCAATTTAAATTCCGGTTTCCCTTGCGTCCTCCACGCGAATTCAATCGATTCGCCTTTGCGCGTCGCCACTCGTTGCTCGTTCGACGATGAAAAATCGCGACGAGGGGCGGAAGAAGAAAAGCCGGAGAGAAAAAAGCAGGAAGAAAAGGCAATCGTGGTGCGAAGGGCATGGGCGACGCCGCCGACCAGCAACAAGTGAGAGCCGAAGAGTTATTGGACCCAAAAGCCTGTAATAATGGCCGGCGCGTCGCGGAGTCGAGCGAAATCGAACGCTTCCCCGGTTTTATTTCGACGCGCATCCCGATCGAAGAAAGTCGATACAGAACAGGGGACCTGCCGACTGGAAAATCGGTGCATCGCGACCCTTTGTCAACGGTCTTTGCCGTTTGTGATTAAAAGGATATTCCTCCCTTTTTTTCTACAGTCTTCTCTAATCGAGGGAAAGTATACACTTCGATTCCCGACGGCTCCGAAATTTTAAACAAAGTTCGAACAAGAGTTTAGTTGTCCTCACGGTCTCTAAACATCTGTCTACTTCCGTCACGTGTCCATACATGGTAACGACTCAATTGTGAAACATTAACATGCCATCCACGCTTCATCCACTGCACCGTAGACGCATCTGAAATTCTAATTATAATTCGTCTTTTTCACGCCCGGTGGCTTGTAAGTTTTTTAGAGGAATTACATGTTTCCGTGTAGCTTATAATTTATCGGTGGCTCCGAACGAGATTCTTGTACAAGAATTTAAGACGACGAATTTTCATCGCTGATCGGAAGATTTTTTCGAATACAACGAGCCAGCCTCGTTTGCACCGAGGCGAGGGCTCGGTCCGACTCGCTGATCCGAAAAGTTTTAATTATTACATTATCGCGTCTCTGGCTCGCGCTACCGTGCTCATGCACGCGTCAAGTCAGACGTAATGATGGAATTATACGAAGCGTTGTACGATCATGTTTGATCAATTATCGAACTTGTACACCTATATATTTACTATACGCTGTAGTACACGAAAATTTTTCTTATTTTTCCCATCTTTCTAGATAAACGAGTGAGAAGAATCTCACTACCGAATTCAACAAGTACGAAGAATGAAAAGAAAAAGAAAGGTTGTCGGGCCGTTCATGTTTTTTCCCAGAGCGAGGTATTCGATGCAAATGTTCGCAGTAGGACGCGGACCCATAAAGTATTAAAAGAGCAGAGCACCGGGCTTTTCTTCGAAAAGCAGTATTCAAAGCGTAGCCTCCTTTACCCGGTGGTAGTCGCCGTTGTAGCGCGGTAATGGCATTCGCGATCCATTTACCGATTCCATCCTTTAACGGCATAAATCTCATCTAATAAATGTACACGCGTACACCGGGTGCGTCGCCGAGCCGCATACTCACGCGAGCTTTCCGCGCGAGGCCATCTATCATTCAAAGTCTTCGCTATCGGAGTCACCCCGAAGCATCGCCGGAAGAAAACCGAACCAAGGCTTGGTTAGCTACATGTTCCGATGAACCGTAAAAGATTAGAGTATTATACGAATGCGTATGCTGATAGGAGGATCTTCCGGAAATTCCACAAACGAGTCCACTTTTCAAGGGAGATTTCCTACTTCGATACCCGATACTTTCATGCAAATATCGAATGCGATTCTAATCTTGTTGCTACGCTTTTCTTCGTTTACTTTCGTAAACCTGGTTGAAACGATTTCAGCGAAGCACCTAGTCACTTTGTTAGCCCAATTGCGGTACGGTCACATCCACGTCGATGCTATTTACGAAATTCCAAAGTAAGGGTTTTGCGACTCTAGCCCGATTCTCCCTCACGTTACATTGCACGCGCTGGTGGCCCCGTGTCCCACGTACACAGGCCGCGTAATTTCACGCTTTCGGGCATGCACGCGTTTTGCATACTCGGTGCAGCGCGTTGCGACCCCGTGGATGAAATAGACGGCGATCGAGCGTCGCAACTCGTGTCAACCAGAACAGCCTGTTACGTTAATTATTACAAAGAAACAGACAGGGAAGTTGACAAACGATTTCAAAACGGGCGTATGATAATTGTTTAAACCATTCTTTCAAAGGGATTAACTGTGTTACTGTAATATAGAAGTAATATAGAATATAATATAAAAGTCTTGAGTTGCTTCCGTAAAAATGACGTACGGAAGAGCGTCGAGGAGTAAATTTGGCATTTGCCGAGTAACGAGCCTCTCGAATTATTTACTGGACTACAAATATTTGCCAGGGAAACACGGCCGACTTGCTTGAAATTCGATTTGCATGCTCGCTTCTCCTCTTCTCGCGCGAAACTTTTTCCGCTTTCGAGGCTCGCGAGGCCACTCGAGGCTCGCGCGGTTCGATCGCTTCTCGTTTTACTTAATTGAACCCTCTCCGACGATAGGAAACAGCGTTCCAGAGAGGGAGGGAGCGCGAGAGGGTGTCGAGAAGGGAGGGAAGCAGCGGTTCGAGTGGAGCAGCCCTCTCGACTCTCGACTCCTCGTTCGTCGATGAGGCGAGCGGGTAAAGGTAACAGCGCGTTAACGCCAACTTCCAGTCGGTAATTTTCCCGAATGCCGGGCAGAAAAAAATTGCGAAACTTCGGGATATTTACCGTGTCGCCCGGCCTGGGTGAACAGCCGAACGCGTCAAAAGTTCTTTCGAACTTGCCCGCTCGCGTAAACTCGACGAAAGCCGAGCTGGTTCAGAAAATTTTATGGCGACGTGTTCGAATATACGCGTAGAACTCTCGGGTCGGTCAAAGAACCTTGTGTTTCCCACAGGCTGAAATTTTCGGGACAAGCACGATACGTGGGTAATGAGAATTCATAGAGAGATCAAAAAGTGAATAGTCAGACTTTGAACGAAAACCACGACTGAGGGGACGCCGTGGCAGTTCGCGGAAGTCAGAACATGCCTACCGGCGAGTTTCGCGATAAATAGTACAAAGAAAGTGTGTGATTAAACATTATCCCGGTGTGTTGCCGCTCGCGCTTTCATCCCACGCGCTTAATTATCCTTTCATTCATTCGAGTCTCGAACAGAAATCGACTTCGCGTATCAACTGTGATATCCACCATTATTACCCGATCATAGATCTAACTTGATTATCTTATCTAACTTGACTACGCGAACATTTCTCTTTCTCTGTCAACGCGTCAGCTCTCGGAATTCGCGGTGGCTGTTCGCCAGACCGGATGCGGGATCGGACCCTGAAGGTTTGGCGTTCTGGCCGCTGACTCTCCTCGGCTTCTTTCTTCTTGCGGTATTCTTTCTGACCCCTCGGAACTGCCACGGGGCTGCGAAGATCGTTAACTAAAGTGGGTAATCATATCCACCGGTTTCACGCCGAGCCGAGCCGAGCCGAGCCGCGGCTGTTCAACCACTCCGTGTGTACAGGGTGGCCAAATTATTACGGTCTACGTGGCCATTTCGCGTATCGTCGAAACGCGGCAGTCGCCGCACGTCCCCCGAAAACGTGCACAATGTGCATGCTCTGAATTCGATCGGCCGACTCATTGGTCACGTTTGTTCGCGACATTTTCGACTCGTAGAAAATGGTGGACAAAACCACAGCGAAATCAAATGAAGAATAGATTCGTGAAGACTAATGAAGCGACGGGACAGAACATTAAGAATGTTAGAAACAGAAGTGACAAAACGAGATGTGAATCAAAGGAAATACATTTGGTCACGTAGGACGTGGGTGTAAGCGTATTCGGTTCCCGATAAGATCGCTTCCAGGAATCTGTCGACGGCTCAACAACAGGAAGCGAGATCGCCACGCCAGGAAGAATACGAATAATCACGAATCAATTCACCGAAATGTATGCACTAACTATTGTTGCCTCGATCGTAACATTAGCCACTGT